GTTTAATTCTGTGATTGCAAAGATAATAGTTTTCTAACTTTTAAAATTTTATTTTGGCAAGATGTTCTCGGAAACTGCTCTCTCTCTACATGCGTATCTAAAAAATACAGTTAGTTTTGGTGTCTTGCTACTGTTTGCAATTTAGTAAAGAAGAAATTTGAGGCATTCTGGTCAATTCAATTACTCTGCTTAGTCTTCTCTAAATTTAGAGTAGATTCTGGGGAACCAATGGGATTTATTTTAAAAAGCATTTTACTAAAAGCACTCCTTTAGGTTATGGAAGTTTTTCAATTTTATGTCCTTACATATAACTTAATCAGAGAAGTTAATAGAGCTTTTTGTGTGAGGCATACAGTTGTACGTACAGTTTTTCCCATTTGCTATTTGATACTTTCTGTACTGATCTTTGATTAGCAACATAGGCAGTTGAATAGTAAAAGCATTTGGCACTTTTTGGAATGCAGTCTTGGAAACGGCAGAGTTACCTTTTGTAGTTTCTTTTGCTATACTTGAAAATAAATATTTTTAAGAAGTAAGTCAGCACAGGGAAAAACTGCTCTTGCGTCTGCCCCCAGCTTTCAAAGACCCGTTTACAGAGTATCTGTGAAAGCAGAAGGAAAGGGGACCAACCTCCAATCTGAGGAAATAAACCCACATCAAAACAAAATGAACTGTCTTAACATTATGGGAAATTGCTGAGAAAAGGTAGTTTGTCTGTTTAGAAAAAGCATTTGTTGTTGTAAAATGGGTTGACCTTGGATATGCAAAATACATTCAATGTGATGGAGAGCTGGTTGATGGAAATCAGGTTTTCAGAGTTGAGATAAAGAGAACCTTGAATTATGTTTGTGTACCTCCAAGAGTGCAGTTATCTTCTTTCTAGTAAATACCCACTGAGGATTGAAGAAATTCATAACACGTTAAAGTCCTGTTGAATGATTCAGGTTGGTGCAACCTGCTGATTATACTGTATGGACATTAGTGTAGTGTGGGCTAAATAAAAATCTGAAGTTATTGAAACAGGTGAATTGCTGTGAAGGATAGAAGGGTTAGGCAAAATAGATCTTTTTCAATACAGTCTAATTTATAACTATTAAATGACTGAAAATATACTGTTAACTCCTGGCATATTTCTTACACGTTGATCGGATCCTAAAATTATAATTGCAGTTCTCCTAGCACTTCCATGTTTTTAAAACAAAAATTGATATAAGGAAGTCATCTAAACTGAGGATTAGCCACACAGAGTTAATGATTAAAAGCACAGTAAAAAACCAAGCAATTCATGTAGTTATAGTATACCAAATAGTAAGAAATAAAAATGTCATGGAAATAAGCTTATAATTCTGTAATCTTTAGTGTGATTTTAGAAAGAATAACTCTTCACTCAGCTGATACTACATATTTAGCAATATCATCTCTTGCATTGCTTGAAAGTTGTTTTGATAACATGATATGAATTAGAGAACAACTTTCAAGTGTGTGTTCTGCCTACGCATGTGTACTTCTCCACTTTACTTTCACCACCAGGGGATGCTTTTATTTGGTTTTTGAATTGAAGTTCTAACCTGGAAATGTTTGTTATCATACCTCATAGGAACCTGGGAAATACTTTGCTTTCAATACATCAGAATTTTCAACATGATAGCATTAAATGTATGATTACTTGATCTCTCCATGTGGTATGACTGAGGTGTGTAGATGTGTTAAAAATTCTGAGACCAGCTGTGCATATTTATGTGCTACAGGATAGTCATAATTAAAAGAGTTAGATGACATAATGGAAGTGAGCATAGGAAAGCCTCAGGCAGGTACCAACAGAAGGGACAAGCAAATAAACATGTTCTTGTTCAGAGGGTTTAGAGAAACTGTTTTGCATTCTATTGTGAAACTTTACATTGAGATTTTGCTCTCTTTGAATTCCATCTGTTTTCATAGAATAATTTCTACACTGAACCATGGAGAAGGAGAGAAGAGTCATGTCCATGTTGCCCTGTGATTGCAGCATGATGTTATGCATGCTGGTCAGGGCGAGATTTGCATAATATGTGTCCATATGTAAATATTGTGTTGCTGGTTTAATTTTAGAAAGCAGGTAGAAGTATACTTAAGCTCGTTGTCACTTTATTGGCACATCTGCTGTTTCCATTTCCATAGTTTTTTTGAAAACTCATTTTGATAATATTGCAGCTGAGGAAAGTTAAGAGTATATTGTTCCATTAGTGAAATTGCCTGGAAACAAAGTATGGTACATTTTATGGTACAGCAGTATGCACAGAACAATACATAAACTTTTCTGATTAAACCTTGTTTTTACTTACTGTAGTAAAAGACATTTATAGAAAGAATGTTTCTAAATCTTTTTTTTTTCTTAATCTGTTTTGTTTTCAGGCATTGCTATTTCTGATGAACTTGATAAGGTAAGATGTACCGTATGCCTAACGAACAGTACAAAAAGACAGATGATTGTGATAATTTTAGGCAATGAGAGCTGCATGTCCCTTTCCTGGCATACAAACTTCAGTTCTATTGGGCTCAGAGGAAGTTTGGGTATGGAAAGCTATATGGGTAAGTACAGTATATGTTGGTACATTAAGAGCTTGATCCAGGACGGGCTGTCAACTATGGAAAAAACAATCACCCTGAGTTCAAGAGACTCTTAATGAGGCCATGGAAATGCTTTGGATCTTGATACCATCTTTGTTTCATATAGTCTGTTGTTACTTTGTGTACTTTTGGAAACATTTAGCTTTAAATACCTTTTATTCATGAAGTCATGAATTCTGCATTCTTGGATATGATTTGTGAGAATATTTAGGAATAATTTTTGCTCCGTAGATTTGATCAGGAATGCACAGGGCACAAAGATCAGTCTTCACTTACTTGCTGATGCAACAAACAATGATCTCTTCTGTTTTGGCTTCTTTGATGTGTTATGCAGTTAACATGAATTTTAGTTTTAGCTGTAATTTATGCTGAAAGAGTAATCAAGCTAATTTTACAAAGTTCCAAAGGAAACAGAACACCTTTCTCTTCCCTAATCTCACTGGTGAACAGCAGTGTGCTTCTAGTGCCAAGAATCTTGGGTTGTGTTCTTCGTGTCAAAATCCATTACTGTCAGGGAAATAGGATGAAAACGTATATAAGACGCAGGAATAATGGCTAATATAGGAGACAATTTTTTAAATATCTTTCCTTTCTCCTGGTAAAATGAGGGTACAAACTGTTCTGACAGAAGTGCATATAAAATATCTCCCCTGGGTTCTCCAGGAAAGGCCAGTTAGACAAGATAGATCACTGTTACCGTGCAGTCATGTGCATATGGGGCTGTCATTTCAAAACAATGGCCTTTACTTATCATTTTGCTCTTGATCTTGCTTTACCTCATTGTTGATATTAAGAGTATAACAGTATCTTAAGTCTTCTTTCCTACTGTTTCCTTAACTGTGCTCAGAGGTGATGAAAAATACAGGTAGAAAGTCCGTCCATTAGAACTCTTACTTTTAAGAGTACTTATGAAGAACTCCTCTTGACTTGGTTTTGTTTATTGAAAAAAAACTATGAAATACTGTTCGTGGGACAAAAAAGACAGGCTAGAGCCTGTTATCATTTACTTTTTACATATATTTTTTAGGAGATACTTCTATGTTTTTTTTTTAATGTTGATAAATTATTGTTCAAAAACATTCATGTTTTTTAAATTTATTTATTCAGTGTGATAATTGAGATGAGGAACATCATCGGTGAATTTCCTCAGGATCCAGTCTGAGTGAAGATTTAATTTTCTTTTTATTACCGTATACTTTATTGTTTGTGATTTAAAATTGGGAGGTGGTGGGGTTTTTTTAAATAAAACTTGACATTATGTTATGTACATTCAATAGGATACATTACCTGACACCTTTACAATACTGCATCTGCTTTAACATCTGTTTCTAATGAGGACAGCTAAATTGAATGTTCTTGAAATCAAAAGTTATTTGGAAAATAAAAAAAAATTAAAAAACAAAACAAAACAATAAAGCTCTTAACATGCTTCCTTTGTGCAGCAGTGCTCAACAGGCTTTCAGGATAGATTTACAGAAGTAGTGCAATTTTTTGTCTCCATAAGCTTTAGTGAACTTCACTTCTATTTCTTGTTTTGTCCCTTATGGATTTTTAATGCAAATGAAGGCTAGTTCTGTATTAAGAAATTAAGTGTAGCCAGCACCCTTCTGTGGAATCCTGCCTCTTAGGAATGATCTCTTACACAAGCTAATTCCTGAAATATTCCTGTGACTTGTTTCTAAGTGTGTTATTTGGTTTGGGCCAAAAGCAACCAAATACTGCCTGATAATGGTTTAACATTAGACAGAATTTGGTTCCATTTCACCTGAGCGTGTTCCCAGGTGAAGTTTATTTTTCAGGTACAAATGTAGTCAAGTTCATTGTAATTCCTTTCCCAGAAATACATGCTGATACTGCAGCTTCCATATCTAGGCTGTGGTGGCACTGAATCATTTTTCAAACCACATTCATCTGTGGTTTGGATTAACCACTTCACCCTTCGGGTACATGTCATGGATCTAGAACAGCATGCCCAAACTTGGCATTGGATTATGTTATAACATTGGCATTACATAGATGTCATGAGAGACATAAAACACGATAATAAATTCTATATGCTCTTCCTTGCTTTATTTTCCTGACAATTGGGAACATTCTTGGGGATTAAGACATAGCCCATAATCCTGTTCTTTAACTGTGTTTTAGATTATGAACTCAGATAAAACAGAGAATGTATGTGTATATTTGTTTATTTTTGTTTCTCATTATGTGTTTTTTAAAAACTTGTTTCTTTTTGGCTGTGGTAACCTCTAGCTGCCTTTTTCAGGGGAGTACTTGATCATTGTTGGTTGATGTAACTCCTCCTCCAAGTAATCCAGTTAATAAGTTGCTTAGTTACTTGAGCATGTGGATTTGGAAAACCAGTTTGCTCTGAATTACAATCTCTTTTGTGGAAGGGCATTTCATTTAAGTGGATTCTTGTCAAATATCTGCTATTATTAGCTTTGTGTCAGTATTTAGGGCTTCAGTCCAAGACAGAGGTAGAGAAAATACAGGCAGACAAGGTCAGTCAAAATGGAAGCTTTCTGTTTGACAGTCTAATAAAATTTCAGAGTTCACTGGTACAATTGCAAATAAATTTCCTAAGATTACTGCAATTAAAACAGTTTTACGGTATAGATTCCCTCCTTTTTCACCTCATTTACTTCAGACTTTGAGTTACTTCAGAGTTTGATGTTCAGTCTCGCTTGATGATTCAGACCATGTCTCTAGGCCATGGAAGCTATGTAAAATCAGCAACTGGCACTGCTTGTGTAAGGAAAGAAAATGAGAAAGGATGCCTTGTGACTCACAGATTTTAAGGCTAAAGTGCGGAGTTAATATAATATAAATTTCTGAATTGATTCACCCTCCTTACGACTGCACAGAAACTATGCATGAAAGTGTGCGATTTCTAATGCTTCCCAATAATGTGAAGAATTTTATGTTCACAGACAAAGAAGTTGGGCTAGGATGTTAGCCTTTTAGTGAAATTCACGGAATTCTAGTTCAGTTAAAAAAAATATAGAGGAAAAACCACTGAATTCACTGTGGGTTTCAGAGGTTTTCCTAAGTCTGCTAGGACAATTCCCTAGGAAGTGGAAGTTCAAATTTGCACAGAAGTATAGACTAGCCATACTGCTGAAGCTCTGGTGTCCTGACTGATCTGTCAGTCACTTTAAACATTAATAATGGGAGACAGCTAAGTGTTAGAGGTCCAGAATCAGACTCCAGTGAAGATGATCTAATAATTCATAATAGATTTTGACCCTCAAGGTTAATATTAAAACATTTTTTTCTATGCTGTGTCTAGGGTATACTTTCTTCTTACATATAGTGTTACTAAAATGAACACAGATTACAATTAATAGAAGAAAAGAAACAACTACTCTTATAAAAAGAAACAAATTTCTGCTCACCAAAAAGTATTTCTAACTATGGAGGTTTCCTCAAAATCCATATCGGAAATTAGAAATGCTGAGCTTTTTAAACTATGCTTAAGAAATGGATACACAAATGTTCTTTTGTTCCCTGGTAGGGATTGCAGGCTGCAATCACATCTCAGCCCAATGTGAAGATGAGATTCAGCTGTTCTCTGGTCTTTTCCTTCTTCTTCTGATCTCCACATAAAGGAAGCTGAAGTGTGTCATGTTGGTAGCCACTGATATGTATAAAAAGTGGATGACACCCTGACTCCACCATAAAATAATCCTCTGGGTTCATCTAGTGCAGATTTAAATACCTACCTGTCCTGAAAATATTTCTGTGTACACTAATGTCATTTTAAATCTCTTCTGTTATTTATGAAAGAATATAAACTGGAAATCAGTTAAGATTCTAAGGTTTATGTAAAAATAAAACCTATAAAAACTTTTTTGAGAGCAGAATACTTCATCTGAATTTATTGAAGCTTTTGAAATAAGGTGCCAAATAAATGTCTTGGTGTTCTCAATAGAGTAATCTCTGATGTTTTCACTGTGGCTGCTTATATAGTTGAAAGGAGGAAAATGAACAAAGTCACTCAAACTGTGGCGTACTAGTCTAACAAGATTCAAAACCGAAAGCAAGGTGATAAAGTGAGGCAAAGCATGACTATGCAATGTAAATTACATTTCTATTAAGTAGAGTATGAAAGTGCTACTTTAATCCGTAAAATGTCTAGAAAAGAAATCAGCATAACAAGGATAGACACAGCATTCACAGTTTACTTATTCATAGGCCGATGGTGCAGTGTACAGTGTCGGGAAAAACTTGCTACTGAAAAAAGGGCAAATTTTTAGGTGCTTTTCAATTCCACTTAAGGGACTGAAGGCTTTTAGCAAGATTGACACTGGAAGTGGTTGCAAGTTTAACTAGCTCCAGCAACCTTTTTTTTATTAATTATTAGAAATAATCCTAGGGAGAAAAGGAAGGGAAAAAATTGCTAGAGTAGCAGGAATAAACTTTAGAAGGGGCTAAGTGGTTCTTACTTTAACTACTGTAGGCACCTTGTGTAATGAAGGCATTGTGGGCAGTGGAATAATCTTTTTTCCTAGCTCATAGGCATATGATGGTAGTCACACCTGTGACATGTTGTGCCTGTCTAGTGACTAGAGGCCACTGTCATCTCCCTGACTATGACACAGCACCAGACAGATGTACAAAATGCGTATTTGTAAGTAAATAAAAGAAAGACACCAGTGGTTAGGTATTCTCTGAAGCCATGATGTTTTCCCTAGATTTCTCTTTTCTGAATTGGCTATATTCCATTTTCAGTGGTCCTACTGTGTCACGTCAACTTTGCAGAAAACAGACATCGTGTAAAAAGTGAATTAGTCAAGTGATGGAGAACTCTGGACAGATGTATGGAGAGTGGAGCACAGTAATTCACTCACAGGCACATTGCAGAAAGCAGAACAAAAGAACAAGGGGGAATGAGTAATCCAGAGCCTGGGTCATATTTGGCTCTGTCAAAATGGAAGCTGTTGGAGTTCAGCTGAGCAAAATTACAGTGTCTAGCTGGAGCACGGTAAATACATTCATATGAAAGCAGTTCGCAGACTTCTTTTTGTTTGTTTCATTTCAGTAGAGGCTTCTACTTCAAACTGTGCTTTTACCATATCTGTGTCAATTAGGAAGAGACTTTAAAAATGGTTTGTTTTTAGGAAGATGAGAAAATATGGTTGCTAGGCTAAGTAATCACCGCACTGTACTTTTTCCAGATGCTCTTTGTTTGGAAAGTATTGTTTTATGGCAAGAATATTTATTGAGACACTGAGCTAGGTAACAGCCGAGGATTTGTTTTCCTGAATTTTTTTTCTTGTTAAAGGATAGGAATAGAATTTCTCTCTCTTAATTAGGAACACTGTATTTGAAATGTCTTTGCTAGCCTAGAAAATAGTTTAATTAAAGCAAAATTAATATTCCTATCCCATCATTTCATGTCTATTTTTTTGCATGCATGCTTGTTTTTCAAGCGTGTTATACTGTTGTATGTGAGCCTTTGTCTACAGCTGTGCTAGTAACAGTGAGAACAGAGATACTCACCAGTTCAGAACAGCTTTTTCATACAATTTTTAAGGACAGTGTGTTTCCTTAATCTAATTTCCTAATATAATGATGCAAATCATCTCTATTGTTTTGAATACTCCAGTTGGATTTTGCTTGCTTCTTGCAGTCCTCTCCAGCTATCTTCTTCTAGTAAGTGGTTAAAAATATGAGTACTAGTTTCAGAAATGCATTTTATTAAAATGTTAATACCATTTTCAGAATTGAAAGATACATTATATAAATCCCAGCAGGGTTATTTTTAAAATGCCAAATGCAGATGTATTTATTAGTTTTGCATTAATTCATAATGCAAATAAGAGTGATGCTATTAATCTACAGCAGTCTTTTGGTTGGGGTGTTCATTATACAAGTGACCTCATCTGTTGCTTAGCAGAACTGACACAGTGCTGGTTTTCAGAATTGTGCATTTATTAAAAAAAAATTACAATTTTTCAAGATGATACCCCAGATTTCTCCAGTTGCTATTGAAAAGTAAGAAATAGGAGAGATTTGAGGCATCGGGGTGGGCAAACCTCTCTTCGTATTTTGTTAGTGGGAATCTTTTCATTAGTCTATGATTGTATCTGAGTATTTTGTAGCCCTCTGAAATTATAATGTGCTGTACTGTTTTCCTCCTTTTTTAATGAATAGTTTTATTTTCTATTTCTTCTTTTCCTTTCCTATTTACACGTGTGGTTGAGAACAAGCAGTGCAGTGTTTCTGTTTGGTTTCTTTTTATTTCTCTTCAGGACACAACAGGCTTTAACACCCCCCTTCTCAGACCTCGTGTGATTGGAGAATGGATTGGTCGTGAAGAGAATGATGCTGACCCACTGGCTGCTGAGATGCTGCAGCCACCAATACCAAGAAATAAAAATGAGCAGTGGGACAGTGAGGATAGCAGCAGTCCTGGAGGAAGGTGGGATTTTTGTTCTGCCTACAAATTTCATAATTTGTGAAGTGGATCTGTCTTTGCAATGCTCCATTTCTGAGAGCGGAATGCAGGGCTTTTAAATTCCTGCACCATAGTTTAGCAGCATGCAGAATAAATGGAAGATACTAATATGTGACTGGTTTCTTCTCATGCTTTTATATATGATTAACTTTATACCCATTTGCAATCCCATGGTTTTATTCCCATATATAAAGCTAAGTGTATGTTGTCAAGATTGGGGCCCGTTGTGTAATAATTTTGTGAGGTATAGCTTCATTCAGACACTTCAAACCCTTCTGTCTTTCAGTGGTTGGTAGTAGCTGTTTGTTGATCTTCTTGCCGCTTTAGCGATAAATCTGATTTTCTCATTTAAAGGAAAGATAGACAAGGGAAACAGTATCTATGTTATTTTTAACAGGACTTCCTAAATTAATCTTCAGTTCTTAGCCACTTGGTGTTAATAACAATTCTTTCTCAAAGAGAAAATTGTATTCTCTGCAGTAAATAACTTCTGACGATTTATTGCGCTTGACTGAGAGTGGGGGAGTATGTTTGTTTGTTAATGTGCTTCAGCTACGTGGAAAAGATTATAATTTTTCCAAGGAGTCTATTTTTCATGGTTTAAAGATACCTGTTTATCACAGAGAAGTATTCAGAGCCTTTCTTTAAAAAGGATTCATGCTTGTTTTTTTAAATGTAAAGCTTGTGCAGGGCCTCTGTTAATTGCCTTAAACACCTACAGTTCTCTCTCAGCCCTTTAGCCTTTCTCCTTGGTTCTAACTAGTACTCTGACTGGAGAAGACATCTCTTTCTTCCTCTTTTAAGAATGCAGAAACTCTCTGCTTTCTCTTTGAAAAGGTCTAAGGTGTTATCACAGAATCATAGAGTATCTCAAGTTGGAAGGGACCCATTAGGATCATTGAGTCAACTCCCCACTCCTCGCAGGACTATCTAAAACTAAACCATATGACTAAGAGAACTCCATGAACTCTGACAGTCTCAGTACCATGACCACTTCACTAGGGAGCCTGTGCCCGTGACCAACCACCCTCTCACTGAAGAACCTTTTCCTAATGTCCAGTCTGAACTTCCCTGGCACAGCTTCATCCCATTTCCTTGTGTCCTGTTGCTGGTCACCAGAGAGAGGACATCAGCACATCCACCTCTTCTGCCTCCCTTGAGGAAGTTGTAGATTGCCTTGAGCTCACCCCTCAGCCTTCTCCAAGATGAACAAGCCAAGTGACCTCAGCTGCTCCTCCCAAGTCTTGCCCTTGAGGCCTTTCAGCATCTTGGTCGCCCTCCTCTGGACATACTCTAATAATACGATGTCCTTCTTATATTGAGACACCCAAAACTGCACGCAGTACTTAAGGTGGGGCTGCACCAGTGCAGTGTAGAATGGGACAATCACCTCCCTCGACTGACTAGCTATGCTGTGCTTGATGCAGCCCAGGACATGGTTGGCCCTTTTGGCTGCCAAGGCACAATATTGACTCGTATTCAGCTTGACATCAACGCATACCCCCAGATCTCTTTCCACAGGACTGCTTTCCAGCTTCTCATCCCCCAGTTTGAATTGTGAATATTCCTTCACTGGGTCCTCCATATGCCTTCTACTTTGGAATTCACCTCCCTGTCACAGTCTGTCACTTGCTGTACTCTCACAGGCTGTATTCATTAACTTCCCTCACATCTTGGGAATGTTTGTTATCCATGAGCACTTCTTTCATCTTTTAATTAGATTATTGTGGGGGTAGCTGCAAATACTACTATTTCAAAGAAGCAGCAGCATGTAGTAATGTAGCCAGACGTTAGACTGGAACCAGCAGAACTCAAACACTGGGTTTCTCCAGTGCAGCTCCTGGGAAAGCAATGGAGTCAGCAACTGGCACTGCAGCTTGATTGTGAGTGCCTGGGTTTCTTTTTACTTATTCAGCAGTCCAATAAAGACACTGAATAAAGATCTGTTCCACATTGCAGAGCAAATTGGGCAAATTGTATCCCTTCTCTCAATAGGAAGGAGCAGAAATAAGCATCTCTGATCTCTGGACAGGAGCAAAGAGGTTTAGTTCTAAGTAGCAAAGATGATTCAAAGCAGCATATTTTTCTCTTTGTAGAGGGTGGTACAAACTGTGAGAAACCTCACAGCTAATGCTATAATTAAAAAATGTGATTAATGGCTTTGAGAATTGTATTTGAGAAGTCTTGTTGAGTATCATGGCAAAATCACATTGCCTGCTGTATGAAATAAGGAGAATATGGGGTACTTGATGCCAGGAAAGACTCGTGGGACACTGATATCTCTAGTTTTTAGGGGCAGTATGTGCTGAAGACCTGTTGAAAAATATATATCGTTAAGTGGAAATACTGATTTTCAGTGGAAATGAATAACTACCAAATTACATGCAGCATATGGATTTACATTTGGATGACTGATTTTGTGTCTGGGATAATTCTTTGCTTCATTAGCATTTCATCAGCTTTTGTAAGGCATTTATATAAAGCGTGTTTGCAGTCTTGCAAAATAATCATAAAATTGTAGAACTTCAAGATATTGATGCTACTAAAATTGATACCAGCTATATATGGAAGTTTAAAAGGCCTGTATTGATCAAGGTTAATCTGAATGTTCAATAATAATTAAGTAATAACAGGCAGTTTCTTCAAGGTCTGATTCAGTGTTAGTGGGAATTAAAGTACTATGAGCAGAATTTGGACTTGACTATACACCAAATGTATGAGACAATTAATAGGTAATAATAATTTAGTTTTAATATAACATATACCTAGTACAGCCAAAAGTAGTGGGAGTAGTATGGGTTTTGTGAGATTAGATGAAACTGTCAAAAGAGTGAATTTGTTATCAGGTGTAAAGAATTTTTGGCTACCTCACTGTATTTCATTCGTCTACTTCATAGTTAATGTAGCCTAAAATAATTCACTTACATTTTTACCTGGCAACTGAAAAAGGGAGCAATTTGAAATCCGTATTAAATGTTTCCAATTATATCTTGTTAAATTTGGTTTAGCAGCACTTTTAGTAAAAAGTGATAGTTTATTGATCATTAATTGTCAGGATTTATGCAATAAATTAGCAAACTCTCAAAACTAATCCTAATCTTCAGTTACAGCATAAGAACAGGAAAATGAAAACTGCAATTGTCCCGTTATTTCCAGGTAATATGTTTTCTTCTACCTATCACTAGACATAAGGAAATACTACATGAATGAAAACCTACATAAATGAAACACTATATAAATATCCAGAGGATTAGGCATTGGCAGATCACTGGTAATTGCTGTCATTGTCATGCAATTTCCTCTTTCTGTGTTGTTTTCACAGACCATAGTATACGAGTCACTTTCTGCTTGGTGGAAGGGGAAGCCCTGGGTCCTTACATATTCATAGCATTCTATAGGGCACTGACTAGGCTGCAGGGAACGGCATATTCCTATGGACCACTGGTCTGTTGATAACATGCCCATTTTCAATATCGGACTTTTCAGCATAAAGCAGATATGTATACAGTGAGTATACATAGTACATGGTATTTGGAAATCTGAGTTGTCTGCTTTTTCTATCTTTGCAACCATGAACCTCACCTTTTGCTCCATTCACTAGCAGATAGTGGGAAAGAACCACTGTTTCCTCCTTAAAAACGTACATTCCTGTTATGATGAGCAACTAAAGCCCATATTTCATATATCTGAAAGGCAGGACCAGTTCCTTAGAAAAAGAAGGGGAATTAATTTTGAGCAACTGAAAGGACAAGTTTCACTACTATTTTGGCTAGGAAAGATAGTGTAGCCAGTCTGAAGTAGCTGTATTAGTGATGTCTTGTCAAACTGATGAAGGGTCATCTTTGTGCTGTTAATGTTCTGGATTGCTACAGAGGAAAGACTGTATTTGTCACTAGTTTTGTATTGCTATGTGTTGCTGCTGTAAGGGTGCAAGGTAAGTAATTAATATGTGATAAGCGACCATATAAAAGTGCTGATGGCAATCTTGTTGGTACCGAGATCATCTTTCAAAAATTTGAACACTGGGAAAATAGGATTAAACTCATTTCCAAGTTCTTGTTAGTAGTTTTCTACATGAAAAACTTTCTGGAGAAATTCTGAGAAGCAGGGCTTTTGGGAAACTTCCTCAAGGAATAATGTATGTACACAGTGGGGAAATTGGGTGATTTTTAATGTGTGTCTTAGAGCCCAAAATGAACTAGAGCTTGCAGAGACCCCATCTGTAACCTGATGTCCTAAACTCAAAGCCCGTTCTTCATCTCCAAGGTCCACTTCGTCTTATTGTTCATCTTTACAGTGAGAAATGAACTATCATTGATTATACTAAATTTCATACATTTGCAACAGATCTGCCTTCCTGTGACAGGATGTAAGAGTCTAAGCTGTTTCTGATACCCTCGTGTGGGGCACCAAACTTCCGTCCCGTTGTTTTGTCTTGATATTGTAAGGAATCAGGAATTGCTAACTGTAGCAAGTCCTGCCTTAGACCCTTCTGCTAACTTCTGTGCACTTCCAATTGTCTGTTATTTAGCTTAGGGACACAAGTCAACAAACCATGAGAAATGTTATAACTATATAGTCCTTAATCCTATGGGGTGGTGATAGCATAACCACTCAAGGGAGCAGTTTTTTGTTCTCAGCTTTGTTGCTGTGTGATCAATGCCTTGGCAATAATGCTTAGTAATTGACATCCTGTTGTTCTGTATATGTAGCTTATTTAGACCTGATTAAAGCCCATAAAGGCAATGGGAAATTTTACATCATCGTTTGATCAAAACTTTAGATAGGATCTGAAAACACAAACTGACTTATAACATCCAATGATCAACAAATGAGTGATAACCAGCTGGTTTATTTGTCATCTGATGGCATTAACAAATGTGTGACATAAAGTTGTGCTTTCCTCCCTCACAGCTTAAAAATGGAGCCGAAGACCAAAGGACTAAAACAACAACAGCAGCAACATAAGAAACTGCTGGCTGCCATGCTTTCTCAGGACTCTTTTGATTCTGCTCAAAGCACAGCTCCATCGGTAACCGAAGAAGATATTGACAATGAAGATGATGCAATGGAACTGCTGGGTAACTGCAAAAAATTATGTGCATTTTCTGATACATTTTTTATTATAGATTAATCTAAAAATGTAATATCTGATCAAGCATAATTAGTTTGAGTCTGCTCCCTATGTTTGAAGCTAAAGTATCTAGCAGCTGTGTGAAGGTCCATAGGGTTTAACTTGCAACTTTCAGGAGTGAATGTGATGAAGACCATATATGTGTGTGAATAAACTGCTAGCTGCATCAAAGTCCTGTGAAATATCAAACATTTCAGGTGCTTATAGTGATTTAATTTGAGTTCCTACATAGATCACTTGCAGGTTCTACTTGGAGAATGTATTTATGTACAAGGATCAGAATCAGCTTCACTGGCTTTCTTCTAGTTCTGTTTCTTATCTGTATCACAGTTCTAACTTCAGTGGGCTTTATTTGAGACTTGCTAGCTACAAATAGCTTACATAGTGTGAATTTGTAACCTCTGCAGAGGATTTGATTGTAATCTTCCAGTAGACTGTATTGTATGTAAAATTGCACTCTAGAAGGCTTTGTGCTCAGTGCTTTCTCCCTTTCCTAGAATTACTACTTGTGACAGGAGGGAAATTGTTGAAGAAAGTTAATTAGTAGTCTTTTTTCTGCCATTTTTAAAAGTTTCAATGTAAGATGCTTAAAAAGTAGTAGTGGATTGCAATTTCCCCCTCCCCCCCGCCCCCCATCAGTTTTTGCTCTATAGAACTTTATGTGAGATCAAAGCACAGGAAAGACACAATGTCAGGATAGGTCAGCATCCTTACATTTATGACTTCTATCAAAAATTCTTTGTTTCAGATTGAACTGTCATCTAAAAGTCAGAAAAACGCATGGTGCTCTACTCTGTTTCTGTTATATTTCTGTTCTTTTCGTACTGAAGTTTTCATAGGATCACAGAGTAGTTGAGGTTGGGGGGGACGGCTGGAGATATCTAGTCCAACCCCTTGCTCAAAACAATCAGCTAGAGCAGGGTGTTCTAAACATTGCTCAGCTGTTTTTTTGACTCTCTCCAATAATGGAGACTCTATTTTGTTATGCTAAATAATTGTGAATTAATACATACTTTCTTTTTTTTTTTTTTTCCAGTAGTTTTAAGTTTGATGCATGCATTTGTTTTTGCAGAAAAAAAAAAAAAGAAAGATAAAAGGGCTGGGTCACTCAGGGTGTCACAGTGCATCAGTTAGTTCTTTGTGCTCGAAGGAAGTCGCACTGTTTGTGACTGTGGGCTTGCAGTCTTCACGGAATCAGTTGGTATTTCCAGAACTAATCCGTGGATTCCAGTGAAGGCCATAATTAGTCTGTAGCTGCCTTATCTCCTTATTTACTCCTGCAATTTACAGATCTTTCCAACTGTATCAGTGTCACATAAAAAGCAAGCTGCGTGGGTGGGTGTCTTGTACTGGCATAAACCATGGGGCTCCTTAAGTAGTATTCCGTGGCATCTGGAAGGTACAGGGTGTGATTGTGTGTGTGATGTTGTTGGCCTCATTATGAATCACATACAGAATAGAATCTTTTGTTAACTTCTGTGGAGATAATGAGGAAAAGGTTTCCAATAGATGTATAGGCCTTTCCTTCTAGACACTCGAATCTCTCAAGGTGTCTGGAATGAGAAAGGCAGTATAAAGAAAATTGTATTTTCTAGTGTCTTGATGTTTGGGCAGAATATTATATGTGTACAAATGTTTTCATTTTTTTAATAAGGACTCAGTTGTAAGAATCCATTCTGTTTTTTTGTGCCAGGCAAAACCTGGAACATTTTTCTATCGTGCATTTCACTGAAACTGGGAAAGTTTATACAAAATCAACTTAAGACTGGGAAAGGTCACAAACAGGAACTCTGGTTTGGGTAGAGTGTCATATAAGTCATTCTGAGATTCTGAAGCAAAATCACGACATATTTGATGAATACCCATGGTTATACTGATTATAATATAGCCATGTTATTGTAGCTAGGACTGATAGAAAGTTCAATATGCACATCTTGGTGTTGAAAGTGCTGTGCTTCTTAAAGACTGGCTTTTATTGTAGTTCTCATTTTGCAATTTGCTGACAGTATATGGTTTATATTTGGTATAACAGCTAGGTTACAACCTGCAGAACTGCTCAAAACTTGAGGCTATGACAAAGTGTTAGACAGGAAGGGTGTTTTATTTTCTTTTGAAGGTAACGTAAAGAACTTAAGTTTCTATGGGCAAACATAGGTATTTTCCATTGCTATATTTTCCAGATCAGTAACTGTATGATGCTGGGATTGAATTTTTTTTATTATGTACTGCATTAATCCATTAACTGCTTTGATGCTTTTTACTCTGCTTATATGCAGTATAACTAATTTCAAATCATGGCTTTCTGCCATCACTGAATTGCAGGGCATTGTTGCATAGAGCTACTTGACTTGTTCCCTTTACAGTTCAGTATTCATTGCTTATTCAGCCCTTTCTTAAAAAATCACAAAACCTCACGCTCCTAAGTCTGGATTCTGGGAAAACAAATTCTACTATTTATAGCAGGTGATTTTACTGCATACCCTACTTATAATGCAGGTTTTTGCAGAACACAAACTTCCATCTTTATGTGTGTTCAAGACAACTTTTTTCAGAGTTTAGTTGATTTATTTAGGTATTAAAAGCATGAAAATGACTGTTGTTATATTTTCTTTTAAAAAAATCTTCCTAGTACTCACATCAGAATGGTCAATGAAGGTTTAGCTGGAATGAAACATTCCAAATAGAAGAAACAATTAAGCTGTTATACTTCTGAAGAATCCATTTCAAAAGAAATGTATGTGCAAAAGATGAAAAAGAATATTATGGGGCTACATTCTGATTTCAGTTGTCACTATGTATAACATTAGATGCACAGGAGGGCTCTTAACACACTAGTAACTTTCTAAGTGTGTTCAGTTATGCAGGTGGCTGAAATAGATTCTAGCAAATAACATCATAGTGGAAAGGATCTTCCTGACTTTAAAAAGATGAGAACTATAACTGTAAAATCACCTGTATTGGTAAATGTAAAGGAGTAATGCAATTGAGGTCTCTCGCTGAAAATGACATCAAATGGCTTGTTTTGTATACATCGTAATGCCAAGTATTGTCTTTTGCAAATCTAAGCAGAACCTGAAGTAGTTCTTTGTGAAACTCTGCAGTCCTTTTGGAATTCCATGACATTTGGGCTTAAGCTGTCTTTCACATTTGGCTGAAGTCCACTGAGACTTTGAAATCATATTATTTCCTCAGTATCTCACTGATGTCTGTTGGAGAGGACTGAACTGTATTTTCCCTGAAATTGCGTGAATATTGATTGAACAGTCACCAAAGCATGACTCATTTAGTTTGAAAAAATCAGTTGTTTGATTAAGTGTAAAAATATCATTGTTTAAACATACACATGGTAAAAGCATAAAGTTTTTTGTGGCACACTTGGACTTAAATATACATTCTTGAGCTTTTTACAGGTAAGGAACATGAAAAAGAAATTCTGTATCGCTGTACACAATATTGATATTTAGTCATAGTGCTCAATCACCTCTTTTCTTGTTGTTGTCCAATCTTTAATATCTCACAATATTAAAAATGTTACCATATGCTAATACGTGCTGTGCAATAGTTAACTATGAAGCACCACTCCAAAGATAAGTGTACCCAGAAAGCTCACACAGGTGTGGTTGAGTGAAAAGTGGAGATAATTGAAGTCCATTTGCTGCCGGCACATTGATGCATATGCCAGTCTGTATGATTCTGAAAAGCCTCCGTAATAATTGAAGTCCATTTGCTGCCGGCACGTTGATGCATATGCCATGATTCTGAAAAGCTTCCGTGATTTCAATGCAAATGATCATATATCTGAGCTAAATTTAAGTGGTTTCAACATCAGGACTTGTAAAACCAGTAACTTGTAACACTCTTCTTTTCTTCAGAGCTGGTTTCAAAAACCAGTAACTTGTAACACTCTTCTTCAGAGCTGGTTTCGCAGTAATAGTGTTTCTTTTGCTCAGTGTAGAAATCTACAGTGAAAGTTCAGTGATTGTCTGCCTCATGTTTATTATGTGTAAATCTTGCTATCCAGTAACAAACCAGAATCTTTAAAGATAGCAATACATTTTAAGTAGTAATATATTTTTTTTAACTATTGCTATCAGGAGATACCCGATGACTTCTGTTTGTTTTAATATCTCCTCTTCTAATCTTTAGAATTTCTGTTTTCCTCAAGAGCTTTCCAAATGTTAATTACTTAATCACTGTAACACCCCTGAAAGATTGGCTGGTGATATATTTACATTTTATAACAAGAGGAGATAAACAGAATTTAGTGGAATTTGCCTGTAGGATGAGACAACAACTCAGTGTCGAATAGTCTACCCCTTATATAGTCTATACTGCTTTTCTAATAATTTTCTGAGTGATTTAATGAAAGGGTGTCCAGTCTGCATTGCTTTCAGTAGATTTCCTCTGGTTCAACAGACATTCCTGATTTCCCTGTTTCCTAGAGGTCTTTGGCAACATGCAGGAAACAGACTCTAGACCTGATAAATTATTCTAATATTATCAGCAGGTTGTTCTTTTTTGTTGTCTCTCAGCTGGAAAAAAGCTTCTCCTACATTATGTGACTAGAATACATCATTTGCCAGAAGAGAGGCCACAAGGCTCTGAGAAAGATGGTATGTGAGTTGTACTACATCTTCAGAAGAGTTTTCTGGCCCGCAGACTATTTTGTTGGGGTTTAAGTAGAAAGATTGTGTGGGAGAAAGCTATATGAATTGCTCATCGTGTCCCCTTTTACTGACTCTTCTTTTTTGGTAGCTATTGGGAAATCAGCAACACTACAAACGAGCATCTGCTGTGTAGAGCATGCGCAGACACTGACACCACTGGGAGACAGTAGGCCTCTTCTGCATGCAGAGACTGGCTACACTATACATTGCAAAATGTAAGGCATTGGTGCAAGTGTGTGTTACAGATCTCCATTAGAAGGCCGCTCAGGCTCCATAAGGT